TGCGTTTTAATTTAAGAATCTTGTCAAAATACAGTTGTTGCAATTACTAATGTGTTTACATTTGAATCTACCATGTTTTCTTCTGTGCTTTTTTTCTTCTATGCTTTCTTCTACTTTCTTGCATTTAAAAAATTGGCATTTTATTTTTTATTGAATGTTGCCTTTTTATTAGTTTGGAAGTTATACAGTCTAACAGTATTTTAGTATTTACACTTGAAATTCTACTATGCATATTTAATAAAAATATGGGACTTCTATGAACTTACATGTCATTTTTGTCCTTGGAACCATTAAAATTTTCCTGTATTACTTAAATTTACTAAACATGTAACTAAAGTGAGAAATTTCCCAGTAACTTTGCCTTCTCTTCACCTTCCCTGAAAAAAAGAGGGAGAATATCTCCCTATTCTTCCCACCTTTGCCCTGTCCGTGCTGATATCATCTATATACAACAGGATTCAGATTCAATAACTCCTGCAACTTTTGACAAGTTACCTGTTTTGAGTTTTAGTTACTAATCTATAAAGTGGGGATAGCAAAACCAAGCTTACTGGAGTTTTTGAGAGAAATAAATTAGATAATATAGGTATAGCAAGTAAATGACTAATGCTCAATAAAATCATTATTTTATTCATTAAATATATTTATTTTATTTTTTATATCATAACTTCGTTTGATTAGTAACTCCTCTCTTCTCAAGGATATGCATATCTTTATTTATGTCCATGTTCACATTATATCCCATTTTGTCTCACTGAATTAGACTCCCAAAGCAGACATGGTAGTCTATTAAAGGCCTTTTCATATAGGGTTTAGAGTGCAAAGGCTATCTCCGTCAAGTGAAAAGCAGTCCCTAGGAAACACCATTCTGTATGTTCTCATAATACTTTTGAACGTAACATGCCATGGAATTAGTGAGCAGCAATAAATTATAACCTTAAAAATATTATCCTCTTAACAGCCACGAAGGACAGGACAACTTTAGTAAGCTTATGTAAATTAAAAACCATATAGTTTTTAACCTATGTATTTGGACTTCAGTAAAAGCCAAGTGGAGAGCATTGCTCCAAATAGGCTTTCAAAAAGAGTTCATGAGATTTTAGTAGCTTTCTAAATTTGACCATGGATGCTTATACCTTTTAATTTAGTGGATTTGAAATGCTTGGCTTCAAGTAGCATGTTGTAAGAAGGTTATTTCTGGACCTTCTCCATGTGTAATGTATAAAATTAGCATCCTTCTTTGGCAATTGAACCTCTTCGCTTCAAAGCTAACCCAACTCATCAGATTGTTATAAATGAAGACTAATTAACTGTTCTTCTGCTTTAAGTTTAAATCCTTTATTGGCACAGATGCCTAGAGGTCAAATTTGTGTAGCATGAGTCAAACAAATGATCAGCAGTATCACAATTACACTGAAGCACATAAAATTGAAAAAAAAAAAAAAAAACAGAGTTACCACTTTATGATCATATTAAAGCCAAAATGTAATTGTAAGTGTTGATCTTCAAAGATTCAACCCAAGGGTGAAAAAAAGGAAGTCCATTTAAAGCACGTTTCTCAGACCTTCACATTTCTTTCATTTCCGAAGTTGAGCAGCTGCAGTGGAAGCTGACAACACGTTTGCCTTGCACATGAACAATGGAAAATATACCATGATTGCCAAGGTAGCTAGAACCCACAACATTAGGGAGGCCAATGCTATTAAAAAGGATGCAAGTCTTCACTAAATAACAGTATAAAAAGACATGTCTGAGGTCCTTATGCCAGGACAGGCAGAAGAGTCCTTTGAAGACCAAAAGATACACAGAAGACCATGTTGTTCTCATTTATCGAGGAACCGGGAACATTATAGGCAGGAAAATGTTGAATGTGCATATAGACAGGCAACGTAATAGGTTTCATTGTGTTTCTACTTCCAAAAAGTTTCACCAAAATGAGAACATTGAATCATTCTGCAGCAAGGCCTCATGAAAAACCATCTAGGGGGCATTTGAGGAAGAGGATGCATGCAGACACTGTGCTTATTTTGCCTTTAGAAATCTATACAGTGTGGGTGCTTTCTCTTCAATGCACTTTGAATTAATAATCATTTTAAATTATTCTTCCCAACAGCTTCGTGAGGCAAAACCATTTTACAGATAAGGAAATAAAGTTAAGGAAGATTTAAGAAATAATAATCATAATGCTTCTATTAGCCATCGGATATTGATGATACACCAGACATTAACATTGAGTCAGTGAATTAGAAAACATTATCTCACTAAATACAGACAACAATCACAGGGATAGGCCACATGATTTCAATATTAGAAGTTAGAAGTGGAAGCTCAGAGAAGTATAACAATTTCTCCTGAAGGACAAGTTATGAAGGAATGGCAGAGTCAGAATTTGAACCCAAGCTTGCTGGATTCCAAAGTCTTCTTCTCTTTTAAATCCTCTAATGAAAATTCTCTCCCAATCCACTATATTTTTGAGTCAAGGAAACTCAAAGGATGACAAGTGTCCTATAATAAACAGCCCTGCTGGTCTCACAGCAATAGTAGAGCTATCACTCAGATGTACCCACCGAGCCTAATGGGCTACACTGCTCCCAGAAACTAATAACTTCGTAATGAGCTACTATCATTGCTGAAGGACTGGTATTTAAAAAAAAAAAAAAAGCAGGATAGCCCCAAAAGATTCCTTGTGGCTGCTAGCACAGGTACCACAGCCCATGGCGTGCCCTGCTATAGTGAGCCTTAGCCTCCTGCCTCAGTTGTGGTAGCTGATGTTGATATATATTTGTACCCAGGCCTCCATGTCTCTTTCAAGATGTGACAGAGGGTAATACCCAGCTTAAAACATTTGCTTGGAACTCTAGGGCTCTTTACATTCATTCATATTGCTCTTTCTCCAAGCTGCAAGCCTGTCCACAGCATGGCTGGTTAAACGTAAGCTTCAGAGACTATGCTCCTTGAACTACTCAACTCAGCATCAGCTCTTCCTACTCTCACGGTGATTTCTCAGAGACTGTCTTGCCTGACTCTAGGTCTTAGAGACATTTATTTCTCTAAAACAACAATGTTCTGAGAAATTCACCAGTAGACTGCAGTGGTGGTGAATTTTTTTCTGCTAGTCTCATCAGAGATGAAATGCAGTATCTCCTTTCTCTCTGGTCAAAGCCAGCATTACGTTCCCAAAGAACTGACTTCGCCTTGCTGAGGTAGACTATTGATGTGGGGAGTTGATAACATTGTGTCTTGTAACATTTCAGAGGCAACATCTAAGATGATAACATTTCAGAGCAAGTAGGGAATTTGAATCATGGTTCTACCACTGTTTGATCTTGTTAAAGCTACAAAAGCATTGTACGCCTCAGTTTTTTGCATCTATCAAACAGAGATAATAATGGTACCTACTTCATAGGATTACGTGGAGGATTAAGTGACTTAAAACATACAAAATGCTTGGAAAAATTTTTGACTTGTGACTCTTGGGCCCAGAGTCAGGGAAGAAGGTCCCTGGGGGAAATCACCATGAGACTAGGAAGAGCTGGATTTGAGTTGAGTGGTTCAAGGAGCATAGTCCCTGAAGCTTAGGTTCATTCAACCAGCCATGCTGCAGGCAGGCTTGTGTCTTGGAGAAAGAGCAATGTGACTAGAGAGAAGCTCCATCAGGGTGTTTCTGCCATCCTGTCATAAAGGAGGCTGTATATTTCAAACATTAAGAACATTAGCCTGACACTGAATGACTCTAGATTCTGGAAAAGGAAGATAGAAAATTGTTAGTAATACAAGGGGCAGAAGCTAGATTGCCATGTGACCACCATGCGAGGTTGAATGCATGGTACCCATGTGGGCTGGGCCTTCAGGCACCAAAGGTTCTCAAGGCTGAGCTTGGTATGCAAGGAGAAGAATGACAACAGAGCTAGAATTTTAAATAATCCATCCAGGTTTGAGCAAAAAACTACACCATGGCCTGAGAACCTAGTTCCTCCTTTAGTACTCTGGACTGTGTAAACCACTAAGATATTTTATGAGCAAAGATAGGGGAAGACAGTCCTTGAAATGGAAAATTAACCAATGATAGATCTCTCATAATTTTGAGTGATAGCTAGACCTAGATTTGATTTATTCAAAGCAAACCAAAAAAAGGGCTGAGATCTTCTCTGCTCTCAAATCTGTCAGTTATACAGATCTTTTCTATTCTTTAGCTGCTTTGTAGGTATTAGGGATGACTGCAATGTTTGGACAATTTTGCCAAGCACATAGAGGCTCTATCATGAATTGTGGAAAGCAGGAAATGTACAAGCAGTATAACAGTGTGCCACTGAGGAGAAAGCCACTATTTACAGCAAAGTTTTCCTTTCTAGTGATATAAAAAGCAGTGGGACATTCACTACTGATGACATAAGGAAGAATCTTTATAAAGGTTTAGGACTCTTAGGGAGAGGTGTACTTCCCTTTTGAAAGGATATTCCTTTTTTTTTTTTTTTTTTTTTAAACGGAGTTTCGCTCTTGTTACAATGCGATGGCACGCATTGTAACGGTGCAATGGCACGATCTCGGCTCACCGCAACCTCCGCCTCCTGGGTTCAGGCAATTCTCCTGCCTCAGCCTCCTGAGTAGCTGGGATTACAGGCATGTGCCACCATGCCCAGCTACTTTTTTGTATTTTTAGTAGAGACGGGGTTTCACCCTGTTGACTAGGATGGTCTCAATCTCTTGACCTCGTGATCCACCCGCCTCGGCCTCCCAAAGTGCTAGGATTACAGGTTTGAGCCACCGCACCCGGCCGAAAGGATATTTCTATCACTGTAGAGCACTGAATTTGGCTTCTGTTATGCACATCTAATATGATGGGTGCTCCATGTGAAAGTCAGCAGCTGTGACAACCTACTGAGGGACTGATCAAAGACTACTGCTTCTAGGAATTCACTGAAAGCCTTGGAAAAGGTAGGAAATCTCCATTTTCAGGGTCAGTTGACTTAGGTATAATTGCCTTTTTTGTTTTTAATCCAGCTCCATAGAGACTGTCAAAAATTGCCAATGCCGACTATATTTCAAGTTGTCATAGCAGGGTATTGGGAAAAGTTTTCAGTTAGCAATAATCATGCCTTGAACAAACCTCATTGACTACGATACCACCAGTGCACAAAGCTAACTGCTTCAATTATGTGAAATAACATGTTTGAATCTCCTCAGAATATCACAGTGGTTAAAGGGCAGGCTCTGGTACTGAAGTACTTGCTTCAAATCCTTGCCCTGCTGCTTACTGGCTATGAGACCTTGGGCAAGTTGTCTAGCTTCTCTATACCTCAGTTTCCCCCATATTAAAAAGAAATAATAATAATCATTTAATTTCTATGAGGTTGAATCTATTATACACTGTAATCAATGAATACAATACGCCTGTAATCAAACTGGCACGTAAGAAGGACTTAAGAAATGTTGGCTGTCAGTGTTATTATCATATTTATACCCTGGAGAATGCCTGATACAGTCACTTGTGGTCATGCAGGTATGCACACTTGGAGTCAAGCCCATTGAATTCTTTGGTTTCTACATTGGATAAGCACTGGGGAATCGCAGCTGGAGTTGAAACTCTGCTCACTACTAGAAATTTTAAAAGCCTAGACATTCTGGGTGACTGGTGGTGTATGCTACCAGAGTCCATTATATCAGAAGATAGAAGACTTTCCTGGAAGATCATTAAGGAACCATCTGAGATACAAGCTTACCTTGAGAAAAGAGCCATCAGGTACACAGCATAGTTGATTAACAGTGGCCAAGTCACTGAAAAGAGGGGGAAGGGTGATTTCAAATACATCAGAGGAGACTATTTTGCTCTTCCTATATCCCCTTGTTATCTAATCCTTAAAAAATTAGGGGCTATTAGAAAATGCAAAAGCACTATTTTCACGAAAACCAGTACTAGATTGTCACGAGAAATCCTTAAGAAAATCCTTAATGTAGTGGTTTTTCTTCCTCCCGGAATAAAAGATTGTGACCAAGTTTGTTAAGCAAAGGAGGCTTGGGAAATAACAGTCGGATTCCCACCAGCTGTCCATTGGGGAATCTGAATATTTTACTGTGGGCAAGAAACTTCCATTCCTTTCTTCTGGTAATGAAGAGAATCTGAAAGATTGGTGAGGACTAAAAGCAACAGAGGTGGATTGTGCTCACCTTGGCTGGTCAAAGTAAACTGAACAACCTCCTCTAAAGCTTGGACACCTGATGACATTTCAGGATGGGCCTGGCTGACTCACACTCAAATTTCAAAATCCTTCTCTTTGGTTGAATGTTTTCCTTTTTCCCTTTCCATGTGTTTTTACATGGGGATCTTTCCCTCTGGCCCAAGTAAATTATGATACCAGAGTCCTCTGAATACAACTATGCTTACTGTTTTGCTTTTGGACTGTATTTCAAATAGGTTCTTACTTCCAAAGGCACAGCTAACAGTAAATATACTCTTCTCCTCCACTCAGACTTCTACTCTGCTCCAGCCTCCCCTCTGTGCTTTCCCTTTGTTCACAAAGCCCTGTTTTAAAATAGAGACATTCATCTTAAGGATAATACACTCCACCTCTCCAAAAAGAATGAGGCAAAGAAACAGTTACTGTTAGAATGAGAACAGGAAACGGAAGTTACACACCATATCTGCTCCAGGCATGGGATCTGGCTTCCATTGAACTCTGGCCTGCTTTTGCATTGTGACTGGCCAGGGGACCAGAAACCAAAGGCGGCCTGGTCAGGATGCAGCCATGAATAGAGTGGGCATAGATCATTTACAGAAGATTAGCTCACAATATCCCTGGAAATAAAGAAGTCTAATAGGGTCTGGGGTCAGAAAGCCTTCACCCTGGTTACCCTCCAGAGCTTTGGGTTTTGTCTCAGGCATATTCCTTCATTGTTAATTTTCTAAAATCTAGTAAAATCTCTTGTTCAGATGACTTACTGATGAATTTCTCTACAGGCCACCTCCCTGGGAGCTATTGAGAACTAACACATATCAAAGCTGTTGAATTATACATCCCTTACACAGAATGCTTCAATGTATTGTTAAACGTCTTGACAGTGGCTCTATTTATCCGATATTGCTAATCTGACTTAATCTAGCCAAACCTCCCACACCCCCAAATAACGTCTGCTAGGCGCCACAAAACGCAAAGGAACTCTCTTCCCTTTCTAACTACAAAGCTTGCTGCTTAATTGTACAAATATTTGTGGGTTTGGCAAAGGTGAGTGCTAATTTGTTGTTTTAGTATAAAGCTGAAAAGGTTAGGAGAGTGCTAAGAAAATAGGACCTACATGCATGTGATGTGCTAAATTCTTGGGAGAAGCTGAGACTCTGCAAATAGGACCCTACAAGTAAAAGCTTGCAGAAAATCTGGAAGGAAACATTTTTGGTAGTCATCAGATACACAGAAGAGGCAACAGAACAAACAGGAAAGAACTGGCCCTAGGGGTAAAAAGGAATGTTTTTCTCTCTATAGATGTGGCTTGCCTTCATTTGGTTGCTTACTGCATTTGATTTTTACTTTAGAAATTGGTTTAGGGATTATAAGGGAGGGAATGATTTAACGAGTCATAACGCTTCAGCCTGGAAATTAGAATATTCAACAATGAGAGATAATAAAATAATTAAAATTACAAATGTGCCTTTCTTTATGCATCTCTAAAATAGGTGTAGTGTCCTGTTAGGAAGATGAATTAGCTAATGATTAGGAATCACTTAGAGACCCTCAGGTGAAAGTTTTATTGCCTCACTGGATTTATTTGTCTGAGTTCAATGTTCTGTGGTCAAAGGCAGTGCTTCTCAAACTTCAGTGTGCATACAAAACCCAGGCGGGTCTTATTAAAATGTGGATTCTGATTCAGTAGGTTTAAGGTGTTGCACAAGAGATTGCATTTCTGGTCAGCTCAATCAGCCAGACCACACTTTGTGAACAAGGATCTAAAATCCCTGTTTCTCAAAGCTGGCTGTAAATTGGAATCAGCTGTTGATCTTTGTAAAAACTTTTCAGATTCGAATTTAATTAGCATGGGGCCTCTGCTGGGCATTGGGATTTTCTAAGTCCCTCCTTTTCTTGAATCTAATATGCATCCAAGTGTAAGAAACACACTGGTCTAAGGAGCTGGTATTCTGGGCCAGACTAAAAGGTTGAGGTGAGGATTAAATGAGATAATGCAGCGAAGTACTTAGCTCAGCCCCTGTCACATAATGTCCTTCGATAAACCTTAATTGTTACAGGCAGCCTTGGCTGTGGCAAGAGATACCACCCAAGTTGCAGACAACACTAACTCACAGAATATCAGGCAGATGCCAAGGATACTGGCAGACATCAAGGTCAGCAGTAGGGCAGGGGAACCTTTGGCCCATAGTAGCTGCACAGCAGGTATCGCTGTGTAAGCAGAACAAGAGACAAGATGGGACAGCTGTGAAGCTGCATGTCATGGCCTCTGTGTGAACTTGATAAAGACCCCTAAAAGGGTGGTTCACACTATGGAAAACAATATGTCAGGTCCTCAAAAAATTAAAAATAGAATCACCATGTGATATAGCAATTCCACTTCTGAGGATATACCCAAAAGAACTGAAAACAGGGTCTTGAGGAAGTATTTGTACACTCATGTTGATAACAGCATTATTCACAATAGCCAAGAAGTGGAAGCAACCCAACTTTTCATTGACAGATAAATGGATAAGCAAAATGTAGCATATATGCACAATGGCATAGTATTCAGCCTTTAATAGGAAGGAAATTCTGACACATGCTGCAACATGGATGAATCTTGAGGACATTATGCTAAGTAAAATAAACCAGTCACGTAAGGACCAATAGTGTATAATTCAGTTTATATGAGGTACCCATATTAGTCAAATTCATAGAGACAGAAGGAATTGTGGTTGGCAGGGGACTGGAGTAGAAGGGAGTGAGGAGTCTGTGTTTACCAGGTACAGAATTTCAGTTTTACAAGATGAAAAGTGTTTTGGAGGTTGGTTGCCTAGCCATGTCAATGTACTTGATGCCAGTTGACTGTACACTTTAAAACAGTTATGATGGAAAACTCTATGTTATGCATATTTTACTATAATTTTTAAAAATAATATATGCTATATTTTAAAATAACTAGAAAAGTAGATTTGGAATATTCCCAATACAAAGAAATGATAAATGTTTGAGGTTGTGGAAATCCCAGTTATTCTGATTTGATCATTACACATTGTATGCTTATATCAGAATATCACGTCTCCCCATAAATATGTACAATTATTACAATTATTATGTATTTATAAAACTAAAAAGAAAAGAAAAGTTTTTTAAAACGATGTGACTCAAGTGTCCTCAGAATGAGTGAACAAGGAATCAGAAAAATGCAGGCTGTTACATAATTTGCCTTTTCCTGTAGAGCTCTGGGATATGGAAATTTCTAGGTCCATAAGGAGAACGCATTTGAAAGTATCCACTAGGATGGCTGGGCTATTAAAATGATAACTTTATCAGCAGAATAACTTGAGAACTTACTGTGTGGCAGACACTGTGCTAATCACTTCATATTCATTATTTCCATTTGCCTTCATTTTAACTGTGTGCAGTAGGTTCAAGTATTAGCCCATTTCCAGAGGAAATGAGGCTGAGAGAGCACAAGATTTCTAAGAAAGCAAAAGCTGGTCTTCTAATTGAAGCTAAAATTATGCTCTTAACTACCGCATTAGCTGCATATAATATACTACTAGTGAACAATTCCTTATTTTTCAGTCCTAAAGACTCATATTATATATTGGTTAGAATATGAGACCTACGTAGCATCTACCACAGGAAAACACTGGTGGCTAAATTACTCAACTGTTTAGAAAGATGGAATACTTTTTCACAAAAGAGAAGAAGCATCTGCATTGCAACAAGAATGTGTGTAGAAGCACTATGACTTCATATAAGTCTTTATGTTATTGTAATATGTTATTAGAGATCTCTTCAATTAGAAAAAATCTAGGCAATGGTGTTTTGGGGTAGACTAAGTGACCCTTTGAGCTTTGACTTTTTATATAGATTTATGCTACCTAAAGACTAAAAGTAAATTTGAAGTTAATTATTTTCTTAAATGCTTCATTTAAAGACACAAGCCTTATTGAATATCTTATGAAATGATATGGGGA